TTTAAGAGGTTTTTGTGAGAACCTTATGAGATAAAAACAAAAACTAAGTCCAGATCCTTAATCTAGGATAAATTTCCTTTCCAACGATACCAAACACGTTGACATACGTGACAACAATTTTTTTGATCTTTGCCCGCTCATACAGCACTGTGCGCCCGTGATGAAGGAAACTCATGATTGCTACTATACCGGCATAGTAGCATGCTCGACTTGCAGCCTCATGGCTGAACCTACGTACTGAAACCTATCCACAAACCACTCTCCCCCTGAGATTGCCATTCAAGGTTCTACTTCACGGGGTTGGGTGGCCGAAAGGCTCCTTACGTATTTAGATGCTCAGCTCGTCTTAAGTCTACATGGATTCGTGTGTAATGAGCGCATATTTTCTACCAGTTTTCGCTTGATGCTAACATATTGTCTAGTATGCCGTTGTCCTGTAGTATGTATCGTGTCTCAGGGGCGTTGCGGGGGCACGAAAACATTATGTGTTCCGCATTTTCTCTTATTCCTATGAAACTCGAACAGTACGGGGAGTCGTTGTGCCCACATGTATTCATGTACTCACGATAAAGACCGTGGCCCGAGAGGAACTTGGTTAGATGAAAACTACATTCCCCGTGAGACCTATTAAGCCATTTTTCAACATCAGGAATGAGCTTGTGGGTCCACCTCCCTTTTTCTGAGTCCCCATCGTTTCTGTCAGATTACCATAGAGCGACACCTTTCTTCTCTAGCTATTGTCTTTCGCGTTAGACCATCGCTGCTCGCAGACAGGCGATTATATAGTGTTTTCATCTCTTGTGCGGGAATGTATACTGGGACCATTCCAGCGATTACAAAGAATGCTTCGTCAGAAATTGTGCGGAATCGACAAACAACTCTCAGTGCACTTAAGCGGTACATGGTTGTTAGTTTCTGTGCGTAGCATTTTACCTTCATTACTTCGGTACAATTCGGAGCAGCATAAAGTAAAACTGAGCTGACCACCCTACTCTAAAGAAATCTACTATTTTTAAGGCCTCCATTAATAATAATAATAGATTGGCGCTTACACATATGTTAGTGTTTGGCCGAGCTTCTCCTCCGATTTGTGCTGTGCACCTTGATGTTGTCACACAAAGCGAAGGGACCTACAGTTTTACGCCGACTCGGAACGGCGATTGTATTTTTATGAGAAGCTGTTTTTCATGACAGAAATACACTCGGAGGTTTGCCACTGCCTGCCGAGGGACGACCGCTGTTAAGAAAAAACCTTTTTTCTATATTTTTTGCGATGTTGCTTTGACCAGGGATTGAACCCAGGCGTAGCGGAGTGGAAGCGCGCACTGCTTACCACTACACCACAGCGGCCGACTAAGGCCACCATTATTAGGCATAATTATTGACAGATATGCTTGAACATTCGAAGCCTTTTAGAAGCATACTCGAGGTGGTACCTGAAGTTTAGTCGACCATCAATCATAAAGCCCAGGTATTTAAATGCAGGCTTTAAAGTGATGGATTCAGACCCCACGCTTAATCTCATCGTTTCTTCGGCTTTCCTGCTACTTATTAGAACTGGCTCTGTTTTGTGGTCCGCGAGGCTTAAATTTCTAGAAGTTAGCCTCTCGTTTATACTCCCTATAGTCTCCTACCATTCCTCTCGATCTCCTGGATATGTTTCGCTACAGCAAATACTGCGAATCCAATTATCTTTGTACGAGGGGCATATCGATACGCAGTATGCCGTCATACATTAGATTCCAAAGCAGAGGTCCAAGAACAGATCCCTGAGGGATCCCCGGCGTGACTGTATTCTTCATAGCCTCTATCACTCCAGTGCCCTAGCTTGCGGTCTGATAGATTGCTCCTAATTATTCTTACGATATATGTTGGAGCCTCCATTTTAAAGAGCGTTTCCATTATACGCTGCCAGCTCGCGGTATTAAAGGCGTTCCTTGCGTCCAGCGTTATTACCGCGCAACACTCTTTTTTTCCCTCCGCGCCACCTTTTGCCTTCGGTGGCCTCTTTGGCAATATCCACCACAGGTTTCATTGCGTCTATGGTCGACCGGGATTTTCTGAAGACAAACTAGTCTTCTCAAGAACTTTCCCTAGTGTGTCCAGTAGGCGTATAGGACGGTAATAGAGGTGACAAACTATCGATGGTACTATCGATAGTTTTATTTTTTGCCCCTATCGATGAGTAGTGATAGTTTTTGTCAAAAAAGGTTAAACTTTCGATGGTACTAGTTGACTATCGATAGTTTAAAACCTCTAGCACAGCCGATTTTATTTATAATGTCTCCATGTAGCTGCGCGTCAGTTAAGCGTTTAAGTTTGTCAATATTTTATTATAAGTGATATATTCATTGTGATTCCTCCTTTAATGGTATTTAATTGAAAAGCTCCCTTTATATTTAAACGTTGCTTCAAACCATAAGGATATGTCTGAAGTTAGGCATTTCTATTATCGGTGCTTGAAGTTTGTATGTTTCTTGGCTGTAAACAAATAAAAAAAAAATATATTACGAAATTTAAACAAAATATATCATATTTGAATATTTATAACAAGCAACAGTGATTCTGTTGCGGCAAATGAAAAAGCTGTTTTTGGTAGACTTTTCCAGCTCCAGATTATGAGAAAAACGAGGTCAAAGTGTCAAAAAATCGCATTTTTTGCAATATGTTAGAAGGTCTAGCACAAAAAACAAAATGTGCTAGAACCTTNCCACGTGATCTGTCAAATACTAATGCATGAAAATCCTAACCTCAAAAAAATCACCCGTTACAAATACTGGAATAAATACTGTGCTATTAAAGAAAATAAATAGATTTTGCCAAAATCAGTTTTTGCTGTTAAATAAATAACTATAAGTGACCTTAGGGTTAAGGTTCAGGGATGGTATTTTAACCGATACTAGTCAAAAGTTCAATCCTTAATTTCAGCCCAAGTGGAAGGCTCCATCCCCTTTTGTTTAATTGCGGTGGGTACTCAAACTTCGCACAAAATCAGGTTTTGCTGTTAAATAAATAACTATAAGTGACCTTAGGGTTAAGGTTCAGGGATGGTATTTTAACCGATACTAGTCAAAAGTTCAATCCTTAATTTCAGCCCAAGTGGAAGGCTCCATCCCCTTTTGTTTAATTGCGGTGGGTACTCAAACTTCGCACAAAATCAGGTTTTGCTGTTAAATAAATGACTACAAATGACCACCAGGTCAAGGTGTAGGGATGGTATTTTCAGGGATAGTAGTCGAGACTTCTAGGTTTAAAATAAGCCTAATACCGCCTTTTGTTTCTTTGCTAGAGCTTCTAAAATATTGCCCCAAAAACGCGTTTTTTGACATTTCTACCTCGTTTTTCACAAAATCGGGAGCTGACGGAAACCTTATGCTCATAGATTCGTAATCAGCACTGACAAGTCAATCAAAAACAGCTGTAACATTTGCCGCAACAAAATTTTTTCCATTTTTGTTGCCATCATAAGAAGAAGCTTTCTCTACTAGGCTCATAATTTTATTTTTAATTGTAAGCTTCAGTAGTAGATATGTAAATAAATAAATAAAATTCGATAATAAAATGCTTTACTTAGACAGAAATATACATGTTAAAGCGAAATTTAAACATAAAGTGAATTTTAAAGTTAAAAGTTACTTAAGAAAACGGCCCTACATGTGTTTAATATTTTCAACATTTGTTTTTTTTTTTTTTTTAGTTTTTCGATGCCGTCCCTGTTAATTTGGAACAGTTTTTAACATTACATTGACTATCGATGGTAGCGTTTGACACTATCGATAGTATTGCTGGAAACTATCAACGAGTAGTGATAGTTTTTTTTTCTGAAACATGGAAACTATCGATGGTTTCACAACTCTAGACGGTAAGACAAGGGCTCTCCAGGCGGATTATTTCCTTTGGGTAACAATACCAGGTCTTGGACTTTCCAACTACTGGTAAATATGCCTTCTTTCAAGCATGTATGAAACGGTCTTGTAAATAAGTCCGGCCGGGAGTGTATCGCGCCCTTCAAGGCCTTATTACGTATTCCGTCGCGCTCAGGAGCTTTCCTGTCTTGAATTTTTGTGCAGACACTAGGAGTTCTTCATACGTTGTAAGTGGAACTTCACCAATCTCATTATTCATACAGTTGGCACGGTTTCTGTTCTTTGAGAAAATAATGTGATTATATTACGCAGTATTTCTGGACACTGCGGTATAGTGGTAAGCAGTGCGCGCTTTCACTCACCAGCACATGGGTTCAAGCCCTGGTCAAAGCA